AGATCATAACGAAGCACCAGCTTGCCCTTGTACACCCCCGCGGCATAAGTGTTAGTGCTTCTCTTGGTTTGCCAGCATTCCTTTGTCATGTTCAAACACAAACAAAGGTAGAGGCAGGCATCACTACATCAGGCATCAACATCACATTTTGTCGGGAGTCAGTAGACTGAAGAATACCAAGACAATGTTCTCTCTCAGAAGAGCAAACCTCGCACGCACACTCCCCACCACATCAAGATCAGTACAAGCCACTGGCACACACCACCAGTGATCTCACACATTTCAAGCCCCCGATTCACACCCTTTTGTCAAATAAGTGTGATGTCACACTTGCACCGCTCGCGGAACTATCAATTTGCAGGTTTTCTCGCAATTTTTGCAAGGATTTTCGGTCATAACACCTCATTTCACCGTGACTTCTATTCAAAACAAAATGCCGTCGGGGGTTCATGGTAATGCGGCTGAAGAGGTTTCTTCAAGAGGAAGAAAACAACGCCAGCCGGGGGAAAAAGACGGATTTTGCCGTCGCGTCGTCTTTTTCATAAATTTCGGGAGAGTGCCCGTTTTTTGAGTGCCCCACTTTTTTGCAGACAGTGACTTTCTCTTTTGTAACGTTTACCTGTGGCCTAGAAATAACCAAAAACGACCCGTTCACGAGTGCCGCCCAACCCGAAAGTGATCACGCTTACGTTCGCGACACGCATTCAGCAGCGAAATCTTGCTAACAGCCAATCATCTTCCGTGCATTGCATCGTACGTGCTGCATCATCGCTTTTGCGAATGTACCAGCGGCCATGCTGTCTTGACCATAAGCAGAAAACGGCCTGTACTATGACCGCGATCGCATGACGTGTCTATGACGTCATTAACGCCGAGGGAACTTTGAAATAGGCTCCAAATAAACCTTTTCGCACTTTTGCGGGCGTGCAACTCAGGAACCAGATGGTTTTGGGTCTTAAAAATGGCATGACCGTGAACCGCATCAAAAGTTCCTCAAGGTAGCTATTTCAGTTCAAAACGCCATGCACATGTAGAACATTTCCTTTGGCATAAATGCTCTGGCTGAAGGCATGGAAAAATGTACAAACGGGTCCTTCCGAGTCTTCTTTTTAAAAATCGTATCTAGGTAACCGGCGCGAGAACGACAGCAAAGATTGCTAATGGCACGCCTTGCCAGTTTTTGCCTCAACGTATGTGCGTGTGTGGAGAGGGCGGGGGGGGGGGGGAGGTTGAGGTGGGGCGCGTGCTCTGCTGCCGAGCCGCCGCTGGATGTTTGTGTGCCGCCGGCTGCTGCTGCCACGCCTCCGCACCACAAGAGCAAATTTATACTGAGGAGCCCATTGGTCAGGATAAGAGCCAGATGATATTGCGCAAAGCTCGGCACGTTGTGGCTCTGGTACAGCCGACATAAACTTATACTCATGTGAGCCACAGAACTAGGATGAGCTAGGAGCTAGGCCTGGCATACACCACGTCGGAAGAGAATGGGCTGCATCCTGCTTTCTCGCAAGGCATTGCACACCAACGAATAGACCCAGCTACCACCGTACATAATCCGGCATATCGGGCGTCCCCACCGGTCCTTGGTCCTGCCATAACATATGCCTCTCCATGCCGTCACGCCTGGGGTCAAGCGAGAGAAAACGAAACGAGTCGGCTGTCGGTCAGCGCAGTCCGTCCCGCTGGCTGTTGGTTAAATCGTCTGCCTTCCGATCTACCCATCTGTGGCGGGTTGGGATCGAATTGCTTTAGGCGCTTGGTATTTGCCCTCCACCGGTATGGCCTGTGGTCTGTGGCAGGTGGCGGCGGTCCCGTTAAAGACCAGTTTGTCGTCAGAGGGCAAGATAGACCATGTCGTGGATTGCGGCACCGCACGTATCAAATTCTCGCCACTAAATTCTGCCGTTACCTGGCATTGCGCGATCGGGTGGTAGGTGTCAAGGCCCACATGACAAGCTCACTGCTGAGCGTGATCTCAGAAATTGATCCATGCAAGGGGTTTGGATATAATCTTGAAAAAGAGCGAAACCGCGCCCTCGAGTCGCGCTGCCAATCAAGTATGTATCGGCGTAAGGACATGACTGCGGTCGTCTGGCTCCTCCGCATCACTGAACATACCATAAGCACACTGTTCGGGTGCGTTCGCACCTATCACTCTTCGCGGTCATTGCCGTTACTGCGCGACTCGTCCTTCGTTAAAGGGGCAGCTGGGTGCGAATCGACAAAGGGAGGTGTCAGTCTGGCTGGAGTCTTGCGAGCTAGGTCAAGCAACGAATTACAAAGGGAAATGGACGTAATTGTGGGTAATCCCGCACACGTAAGCTGGACGAGGCTTGGTTGAGAGCGTACCGTTCCTGATCACTGGGGAAAATAAGGGAAGCAAGGAAGAGCCAAGCCGACGAGTTGGACAAAATACTAACGTTCTAGTCGAAGAAAACCGCCCGTAGATGTACGGTCGCGGCTCGTACGCCACACCGGCTTCGACGCGTGGCCCGTGAGAGCAATAACGAAACGATCTGGACCCTTATGGCCGCCTCCAATGGCTAAACCAAGATAGCTCCGGCATAGGCTAATGAACGAGCCACCGCGCCGAAGTGCGCGTCACCGGCCTCGATCATTATGCCCACCCGCGCCGAGCGCGAGTGCCCTGTCGCCACTTGACCAAATCACCTCCAGCCTCGCTTCTGCGCTAAACCATTAAAACACAGACTGTCACCTGCATTTACAAAAAATACTCAGGCGTAGAGGAACCGCGCGATACATCAACTTATTATGGGAGCCGCTCCTGGGAGTCCCCTTTCTTGGACTCCTATGGGAGTCCAAGAAAGTGCCGGGAGGGTCGCATCGCCAGCGCCCCCCCCCCCCCCCCTTCCCAAATACACGGGAGAGAACAGGCATACATGGCCCACGCCCATCCGCTGTAGAGGGTTCAAGGGACGCGTTTAGAGCACCAGCAGCCTATGGTCCAGGAGGGATGGGGACAACAGCCGGTGGACACACAGGCGCATGTTGTCGCCAGTGTTCGGTTGTCCGCGGAGCTAGATGTCGCCGCCGGGTGATGAGGGGTGGAGCCGTCTCGTACTGTCGAGACACGGCTGTAGGCACCTGACGCACTCCCCAGCACTGATCTCCTCGGAGGCCCTTCTTTCTGCTCCTCCCTTCCGGGTCTCTGGGAGACTTCTGTGGAAGCTTCTTCCAACTGGGTCGGCCCGCCTTCGTCTTCGTCCGTTCTAATAGTTTTGCCGCAAGGCCCCCTCCGTCTAATGTGTTGCCGGCCGGCCTGCGCTGCTTCAAGGGCCCGGTCCCCAACGTGCCCCTGGGCCAGATCTCGGGCGTGGCGTCGTCGGCAACGGTGCAAGGCCCGTCCGCTCTCTACCTGCCTCGCCTAGGATGGGCTCCGCGCGTGCCCCTCTGGCCCAGTTCCTCGTGGCGTGGCGCTCCTGATACCCGTTTGGGCGGCGGCAGCGCCGGCGTGGCGGCAGCAAACATCATCAAAACATGGCATGCTGCCTCGCCGGTGATCGGACGTGACGCACCCAGTAATCTTGCTTGGCCGGCGGAGGGCGTTTTCCTCTGACGTGTTGGTCCATTTCGGAAGAGGAGGCCACCGTCATGGCCGGTCCGCGCCCCGGAGGAGGAAGGGGGGGGGGGGGTGACGGCGGCTTACCCCACGTGGCCGAGCGACACACACTGCCCACCCGCCCTCGCAAACCCGGTCGGCAATGCGGGCCGATCGGTCAGGGCGTCGGACCTATCCGCATTTATCTCTCGGCCTAATGGTTGCGTTTGGTGTGGCGGGGGGGGGGGGGGGGGAAGAGTTCACGACCATGGCCGGCTCACTCACCATCCCCCACCCCGCCGGCAATCCCCCGAACCCGGACGGGTAATGCGGAGGACGAAACACATGAAAATGTATGCTTACATATGGGGCCATTTAGATATTTGTAGCACCGCAGATCATAACCGGAGTAAGTTGCGAACTCAATGATCCATCATTCACCTCTTTTGACTTACAAATGCAAACGACTGACGTAGCTCTTCCCTGGTTGAGCATTCAGGTTCCATCTCCAGCCATTCAATCCACCATTATTCAACGCACGCAAGCAACAATTTATGATGATGATGATTTGGGCTTTGGGGCGCGCAGACTACGTTAGTCACATGGCGCCCATCAAGCAACGATCTACTTTTCCACAAGTTCCCAGTCTAGCCTGATCAAAAAGTCAAAGCAAGTCTACTGTCCAGCCGAGACCGTATCTCGGTCACAAGTGGTCTGCATCGGTTGTGGGCACAGCTGTGCTCCTAACATTAATGTGATATTTACAGTCAGTTTGAATCCGTTTATTCTGGTCAGGTTTGGAATGCGATTCAATTCTGCCCTATTTTGTATGCAACTCTTTCGCCCGGGTGCAGTATCACATACAGAATAGCAAATCCGTGGTTTGTATAATCCATAAATCAGTCTCATAGATGCTTCGAAGTTTTTATTCGAAATTGCACCGCTATATTTTAAGAAAGGCTATTTATTGTTTCACTACAGAACTATGACAAATGAGATATTGTTCAAACAATGATCGTACACACAATCAAACTAAGAGCGGACACGCATCACCACGTAACGCTATGCGTCGTCAGATTTATGACGCAGCCCTGCACCCAACGACCGTTGTTTCGATCATGTAACAGGCCAGCGCCAAGTCATAACACCAGAGCCCTTTCAAGATTTCGGTAGCATCTCGTCGAAGGAAGCCTTTTATTTTGGTCAGTGTGGCTTCTATCCTGCTATCCTATTTCCTAACTTTCCATTTCATTTTAAAAAGTCAAGCTTATTGCGTTAAACAAAGGGCAAACCGCATGGCAAGGAGATCATGCTTCATAAAACGTTAGCAAACATTACATTATGCCTTTGTGGTGCTGCATGGATGGAAAAATCGACCATACGTAAGTGCATCCCCAGACTTTCTTCCATGAATGGTTGAATGTATACATTCAAGTGTCAAAGCAAATGGCTAAAAATTTAAGCCACGAGCTGAAATCGAACCATACTGGGGTTACCAGCGTGATTCTGATGACGTTCACTTCCAGCGGGGTGAAGCAAGGTAATTACGTTGTCACCTTGGGCATCACTCTATTAAAGCCACATCTCAGCAATAAAAGTCAATGTAAGAGCAGCAGCCTCGGGGATGCTCATTACAGTCATGGCCGATCCAATCGCACGCTACGCATGACATGTGGAATTAACGATAGAGTAACCCATTGCTCCCATGTTTTTGTAATCGAATCTCATGGTCTCTGTCAGGGCAAAAGAACACTGTCTCTGAGTTATGGCATTGGCGCTGGCAAGCAGTCCGCGAAACAATGAATAAAACCTGAATTACGCGCACGCGCACGCTATTTATCCATTATACAAACGTTCAGTGATATCAGTTTGTAACACCAATGATAGTTCAGTGGCACCATCCAATCGTCGCTATGTAAAAGTTTGGTCTATGAACGGATATGTCATCATGTAAAATAACAAGCGAGGCTATAAAATATGGCACAGCGTGGACGCGGTGAGTTGACCGCCATCAGAAGCCTGCCACGTCCCCACCCTTCCTGTAATCGGCGTTGGCTTCCAGACGCCCTCCCGGAGTCCGCGCGATACCGCAGACCCGTGCCAGGTGGTTGGCCTCCTCCACCGGGTGACCCAGAAGCCGCAGCTGTTCCGCCAGCACCTGCCGTCAAAAGTTGGGATGAGAGCGAGGACGGAGACGGAGACGGCGAACACTCAGCGCTATCCGTATCCGGTTCGGAGACAACGCTATCCGTATCAACGTCGTATCCGGTTCGGAGACAACGCTATCCGTATCAACGTCGTATCCGGTTCGGAGACAACGCTATCCGTATCAACGTCGTATCCGGTTCGGAGACAACGCTATCCGTATCAGCGTCGTATCCGGTTCGGAGACAACGCTATCCGTATCAACGTCGTATCCGGTTCGGAGACAATCATCACCCACGCGTGATCTACACGGCTAGGTCTCGGACTCCCAGAGAAGTTGCTCCTGGTTGGGCTCACAGAGTGTGACGTAGCGTGTATTTGAAGTCTGAATATGAGTCCCGTTATAGTCGATTCTCGCATTATCACATTAGCTACGACTTAATGACCGGTACAAGCCAAAAACGATCCACTGGACATTTCTTAAGGGACGCGTTCAATGGTTTGTACGCGAAACTCAAGACCCACGCAGCCAATATGCTACATCCACTTCCAACGGACTTAAAGGTAGTGTGTTTAGCGCGCTAGTGACACGGCCATAATCTTGGTTGCTACAGTCCCATGTGTATGGGGAGAGCACTTGCGGTATAGAGCGGGACGCAGTTGAAGGCTCCTTGCGTAATTTGAGGCGGAAAAATATGATACCTTGAACATGCCTGGTGTACCAGCGACATCGCAGCAATAATGTCAGCGCATCTGTTATTTTGAACGCTGACTTTTGGGCACGTGCGTTTGGAATTCGGTCATTAATTGCAGGATATAGGAATCTTCCGCCTGTAGTCGCTGCCAAGCAACGTAGAACAATTACATTTTCCTAGAGCCTAGTGCAGCTGATTTACATGACACAATACTTGTGTCTCATCTCAGCATAAAAAGGCCAACATAAATTAATCGCGGTGCGTTTCAACTGACTATTCCTACCATGCGTCCAACCACGTACACCCGCAACACACATCTGAATGTATAAAAACAACAACATAATGGCCGCCGCCATCGCTGCGTTTGCAAGCTGCTGTCAGCGCTGGCAAGTGGCATCCTCGAAAAACCATTGGCTAGAGCTAACGATGCTTTCTCAATAATGTCGATGTGTTTAGCAGTCAATATTGCTTGGGGGCTACCCGATTACTTCACGCTTCCATACACGCCAAAGCAAATTTGGGGGCTGTGGCAATATCTCGTCAGTGGATGCAAATTGGTAAAAACTAATGACACCAACAAATTCTAATCAAACTTCCCTGCCATCCCAGGTGCATAGTTAAAAATTCCGACTTGGCCAGAAACCCTCCCTTCAACGCGCACATGAACGGTTGCCCCGCCCCGGCTTTTACGGACCACCGTAATAACAGTATTCATCAGCGCCAACCTGAGTGTGTGCTCTGGCATCACTTGGCCTGAGTTTGTGACTTGCCACAACTTACCACTCCAGCGTAAATACTCGATCAGCTCGCTCGTGGAGATCCGAGTTTTGCATCCGACAAGATGGTACAAGCAATGCTGGTATACGGTTTTCGGGGTCACAAGTGAGCCGTACAAAGCATTCGTATAAACTTATCAGGAAGAGTGCACGCTTGTCCTCGAGTGCGATTCACCCGACATCTGCTTGATCTACATCTCACTCTTACCTCAGGCATTCCCTTCTCTATTTTCAGAACATCTGGCAAAAGCTGATGGTGCACTCTCATTGCGTCAACAGCTTCCTTGATGTTTTCACCCATCCAAAGGTTTCGTGCAGCGACCTGCAATGGCCAGAACGTGGGAGCGTACGGACGAGAGTTTATATATAAGCTTGCATATAATAATCTCACCGGTTCTGGAGCCATACAGTTCAGGGTATCCTGAACCTCGTTCGCTGGCAATGGGACATTTGAGACGAACTTGGAAAGACCTTGAGCAAGCGAAAGGTCGCTCAGCAGCCAACAGGACATTTTTTTTAAAGAGTTCAACGTCTCCACCATCACCAGCATAACCGTCCTAACCAAGCACGCATCCAGAGGCCTTTAACGCGGCATTTAGACTCCCGTTAGTACCCAGAGTTCGTTTCACATTTTAGCAATCTGTATGTATTTCAATGAACCAGATCCGTCCTATCTTATGCGGTTTGAATTACAGCCCACTAAAACAAAAAACAAAAAATGGAGGCATCTTAGTGAAGCAACTTAGTATAACAGCTTGATAGCAACAGCTTTACTGAGCAGCGCCACTCTAAACTTACGTAGCCCGTGACCGACGTGATCTTGGTTCCTCCTGAGGCGCCGATAACCATCCTCACCCCGCCGTCGTCGTCCACCAGGATGGCGGGAGCCATGGACGACTGCGGTCGTTTGCCTGCAACACACAACGCAGCCCGTCAACACACGAGCGCCGAAGGTCGCGAGCGAAAATAGTGCAACGCCACTCTCACACCTGTGACGATTTCGTGTGATGCCTTATTATCTTGCCGTACTTTTCACACACGCGTCCAATTACCCCCGCATTATTGTTCCACCGCCCTGCCACTGGCCAGTTATGCCAGAGGTCGAGCTGAAACGGCTATTGAATCTACGTGCTCTGGCGGAAAGGGATTTCCTGTTTGCATGAAATCTGTGGATGAGCAAATGGCAGAACCGCGCTCTCCTGGTGAAATCCCAGCGTTTGACAGAGCAAAATTACGACCTGCACGGAGTGGCGTTGAGGCAAGCTTAGACATTTCCAGTCATGTATATCAGTCACACCCTAAGATCGTGAAAACTGTAGAGTTTCTAATTCAAATATAATAGAAAAACATACTGTGACAGCCTGACATACTGTGACAAAACATACTGTGACAGCCTGACATACTGTGACAAAACATACTGTGACAGCCTGACATACTGTGACAAAACATACTGTGACAGCCACCTGACACATCACCACAATGCGTGTTGCGCATGCAGGCGTAGCCGGAGGCGGGCAAAAGGGGCGGGCCCCACCCTTCGACACTACCCTATTCATTTTCCTCACCTTTGAGGGCTCTTGGAAAAAAATATAAAAATCAGCTTTATGCATTTTCATCGAATTACGGACCCTTTGAGAAACCCCCTAGCCACGCCCCTGATTGAGCATGTCCGTGTACAGCATTTGTTCCACCACCACGTTTGCCCAACCGCCATCTCAGTTGTAGACTTACCTGGCTCAATACGATTGTTCTCCGATGGCGGTAGACCAAAGTAGTTCGTAAAATTTGAGCTGAAGTCGTCCATTTCGTTGTTCAGGATTATTCCCGTCTGTGGAGACCGGAATCCGCTCCCGAGACTAGAAAACAAGACAAAAACGATGACGATGATCCACTGTAGATCACAACGCACTTTGACGGCACGCATCTCGCTGGAAAAGGTAGAAATGACAAGAAAATAGTCACCTAAACACTATTTCTCGACGTGAGTAGACTAAGCTTGTGATCGGGTTTGGGAGGCTTCATTTACACCGAAAGCAAGATAATGTTAGCGATACATGAACGTGATTATTTTAAACTGCCGGATGGTAGACGATGCATACAATTTACAGCAGTACCTGTGTGGGCTTACACTATGGGCGCTGCCAGAATCGGAGAGGCGCGGGGACCGCCATGATTTGCGAAGGGGACTTTCTACGAGTGAGTGGCAGCACCCGACTGGCAGTACCTGCGCAATGTGGACAAGCTCAGATCCACAAACGCTAATAAAAACAGAACCTAACTCATCAATAAACTTTCGATCTGGTCCGCCCTGGGGCCTTCCACAATTGTTTAAACTGCGTACCATACATATTCACTCGCGTATCCACTAGGTCTTTAACTAAATTACTCTGCTTGACTCTACATTTCCCTGCTCATGGTAGTGTCCACGAGATTTAACACCGAAATAGTTTTCTTTATCACCAGATTCTGAAATAATATTCAGCAGAGTGGTGAAGAAATGCGCTGAACCTGATGGTGGTGGGGCGTGCTGAAAGTGCCCCAGGAAACCTCTCTTAGCTGCGCCACTGCCTTAGACAGACAGTACTTCGAGACAGCATTTGCAAACGATGACGTTGACCTGAGATGAAAACAACTGCCATTAAGCCTCAAACTTCATGACCAACGTGACACTTTGAGACCGGCTGGCTTCAGTCCGCGTCGACCCAAGCTCCACAACAACGAGACGCGAGACACACACACGACACACGAGACACGAGACACGAGACACACACAGACCGAGCTCCACCCATGTTACGAGAATCCCGGCATAGTCCCTTGTACTCATGCGGAGCATTGCGCCATAAGACGCCACGCATACCACGCGGCATGCTGCACAATACGTCTTTCTTAGTTTGGAGTACAACTTTGCATGCCGCCGAGCGCCTCTGGGCGATGCATGACTGGCGGCGCGCTCGGCGGGTGGGCGCTGACGTCATCGGGACCCACGGACTCGCGCCACCTGGCGTCGGAGCGCGCCGCAGGCACGCTCCCGATTGTTCTGCTGCCAGCGTGACCTTCATCTCCGCCGGTCGGCGGCGGCACGTACTAAAGGTTGACGGTGCTGGTGACGGAGACGGCGCTGCCGTCGGCGTCGACCACGGAGATGTGTGCTGTGCCGCTGTCGTTGGCGGCGGCGAAGTCGGCGCCGTACTCCCCCGGACTGCCCAGCACGCCGTCTGGCCGTATGCGGCGACGCACCGACGCCAGAAACTCGTCCGACGTCATGTTCCGCACCAGCTGCGTGAACAGCCAGTGGGTCAGCTACAATGACACTATGAGCTCAGAGGTCTTGTGCTAGCAGTTATCAACCCTCGGTATCCCAGGAGGTACTGGCTAACCGACGTTATCAACCACATATGGGCTATATTGCCAACACCCAACGTTTCGAAGCTGTTCTCAAGGCACGAGAGCACTAGTATATGATATGGTATGGTATGGTATGGCATTTTATACGGCATATACTGGTATACTGGTCATACTCGTAGTCGTGACATGAGCACAGCTCCGAAACGTCGATTATTTACAACATGTTCCCCCGAAAACCTGGTTTAACCAGCTCATCCTGGTGTAGTGAAGATCGATGACGGCCAGCACAAGACCTCTGCATTCGTAATTTCTGAACCCGTGTTGTCACAGCAGTTGTGTGGTAAGCAGAGCTGCCTGTGCATTGCAACTGCATGTGGTAACAGGGTACGCAGTCCTGTGCGGCGAAAGGGCGGATGCCAAGTTATTTGTTGAACTGACTGATACAATTAAGGTGGAGGCTTTAGGGTATACGCAACAAGCTATGCTTAAGGGGCCTTCTGAACCTTGAGCCATCCATGCAAACCAGTATGGATGAATATACAAAAACGACATAAAAAGACGTAAAAAATGCTGAAAAAGCCGAAGCTGAATGCTTTTCTTGCTTGTATCAAATTCAACTCTAATGACGTCACACCAGTGCATTCACACCAGTCTAGTTCCAGCCCTGTGCTGATGTCATGTGATGACGTCACTCAAAGACACGGTGCTTCATGCCATACGCCTGTTATCTTATACATAAGCAAACAAACTCAGATGGCGCCATGCTTTCTCCACTGCGTGAGACTAACGAGATAAGAAAAGCCTCCGTTAGTATCTAACTAATCAGAAACTCTCAGGAAACCCCACAGCTCTGTTAACACGGCGGACCCCCGCACACCCCGCCTACCACCTCATCTGGACGCCACGCCCCGGACCCCGCTCAGCGCCCACCTCATCGACGTCGACAAAGTCAGCATCTCCCAGCCGGCTGCGCTGAGCGTAGGCGAACTTGAACGTCTCGACGATGGTGTGGAGGGTGCGGGCCTGCGCCTCGTCGTCGGCGAGACTGGCCGGGCTGAGGTTGAGGCCGTCCAGTACGCCGAGGATGACGGCGAGGACGGCGCCGCTGGCCGGCGGCGGCACCGAGTACAGCGTCAGGCCGCTGACCGGCAGCCGCACCCGCACCGGTGCCGCCCACGTCGGCCTGACGGCACGGCGGCCAGTGAGGGGTGGTGCTCACAGAGGGCGGAGTGGGGATGGTGCTCAGAGTGCGGAGTGGGGGTGGTGCTCACAGAGGGCGGAGTGGGGGTGGTGCTCTCAGAGGGCAAAGTGAGGGGTGCTGGTGGTGCTCACAGAGGGCGGAGTGGGGGTGGTGCTCACACAGGGCGAGGTGAGGGGTGCTTGGGTGCTCACAGAGGGCGGAGTGGAGGTGCTGGTGGTGCTCACAGAGGGCGGAGTGAGGTGTTCTGGCACTGCTCACGGCAGACAAGGTGAGGGTGCTGGCGTTTCTCACAGAGGGTGGGGTGCAGAGTGGTGGCGCTGCTCACAGAGGGCAGGATGAGGGGTGCTAGCGCTGCTCGCAGAGGACGGGGTGAGAGGTGGTGGCGCTTTCCACAGAGGGTGGGCGCAGACGCATGGCGTCAGTGTACGATGGTGCTTCCCACGCCGCGTTGAGAAGGATGAGAGTGGAGACAGGGCTTGCGCTTCTGACAACAGGCTGAGAACTAGGCGTGGTGTGAGGTGGTGCTGCTTTTGCTCGGCCCGAATAACTTGTTTAACATGGTCTGGGCGCTCTCAGTGGTGCGCCTTGAAATAACGATGACAGCCGGATCGACCTCGGTTCCGCAGCTTTCCGCTCTCAACGAGAAAGTGCATCATACCATAGTACCTCAGACCTACAGATATACTGTACCGCCACGACTGCACCCAAACAGGGCGTCTGAAAACTAAAATCCATCGGCGCGGCACGCTGACGCAAGGGCGCCCCTGTCCACCAGGCTGTGTAGTCCAGTAAGCCGGCAGGTCCCCAGCGACGAACGACTGCCTCACTTATGCCACCGCCGACCACTCGCTAGGCGACACTGCCTCGGACCCGCGGGCGATCCTGTCTAATCACCGGTACGTCGGAAACGTCACACACACACACACACACACACACACACACAACACACACACACCCACACACACACACACACACACACCACAACACCACACACACACCACACACACAACACAACCCACACACACACACACACACACACACACACACACACACACACACACACACACCCACACACACACCACACACACACACACACACACACACACAACACACACACACACACACACACACACACACACACACACACACACACACACACACACACAACACACACACACACACACACACACACCACACACCACACACACACACCACACACACACACATCACACACACACACACACACACACACACACACACACACACACACACACACACACACCACACACACACACACACACACACACACACACACACACACACACACACACACACACACACACACACACCACACACACACACACACCACACACACACACACACACACGCACACACGCACGCATGCTCGCACGCATGCTCGCAAGGACGTCACAATTACACATCCTATCAGCTCAAGACACACATCGATACCGTGCACTTAAAATCTGAGAGAAAACGCGCACCGAAATTGCACCAGAACACGAGGGGGAGAGAGGAAACACGCGTGCCAGACGAGCAGGCAGAGCTCCCGCCGAGCACCGGCCGACGGCTGACCTCACCGGAAAGCTAACTAAGCAGCCATAGCCCAGAGCCGCCAGCCGGGACCGTTCGCATTGCCCTCCCGCAGCCGCCGATGCGTGCGCGCGGACAGGTTAGAAGCAAGATGCGTCCTGTTGGGGCTTCAAGCCAAAAAGTGGACGTGACCGCGTTACAAGTGTAACAGTAAATGGAGCACGGTGCGAGAGAGCACCAGCGCTGCGAATGTCGTCCCGGGGATGTCGCCCCACCGAGACACGGTGCGCTGTGACGCCCGCAGCCACGCGCTCAGCACTCAGAGCGTGGGGATGGGGAGGGGGTGGAAGGGCAGGGTAGGCGGTGCTCCACTGACAGCGTCTTAGTATCACACAACCACTCGCACAGGTGGGACGTGACTCGACAGCTGTGGTGCACACATGTGCAGCCTGCATAGGACCACAGAAGAAAAAGAGTTCCGCAGTTGAACAATACCACGGGACACGCAACATTCATCGATGCGATGCGTTATCCTCGGTGCAACGCACCGATTGCGCATAGATGTGCCGAAAACATCTATGGAGCTGGGAAACATGCCGTATAATGCGCGTTTCCGACGTTCCTTCTAGATCATTCATGCGCTTTAGGAATTTCACACCAAATTGCGCCTCAAACGATGTAGGCTTCCTTAAGTTGTTCGGAGCATTCGCGAGGAGCATTATTGACATCTATCAGACAGTAGTTACAGCCTTATTCCTCGGCGTCAAACTAGGAGAATGGAAATTCAGATAAGTTGATATTCCGGCAACGTGCCTATATCGAAACCATAGTACAAGTCCTCTATTATTGTTTCAATAGCGGCATGTTTCCGAAATATTAATCCATCTATATCTCCACTCTCCTGATTGTTCTCCGAGGAATAAGGCAATAACTACTGTCTGCTCGATGTACGCCTTCACCAAACTGTAATTGTTAATGCCACATCGAGGTTCAAAACCCAATGGCCACGGAAATGCCCACGGAGATCCACAGTTACTCACATGTAGTTTTTAATATCGTCATGCGTGACAACGCCACCAATCTCCTGAATGTCCTCGGCAAGCTTCTGGCCCAGGTCTTGGTACGCCTGCAGCCCGCCCTCTGCGATCTTTTCCAGCGTGGCTGCTAGCGTTGGCTTCCGCACCACGTCCCCCAACTCCATGGTGTCGTTACCGTCCTTCAGAAAGATGTCACTGGAAGAGCAGGCTTGTCAGTCTATGCACGGATGCGTGCCGGAGATAGTCAGCTGTGATGCTGTGATGGGATAGCCAAAACAGGTTTGTTTGACAGTTGAAGAGCAAATGAACTCTTGGGCTTCTCCCGTTGCTTGCTCATCTGCCTGTCCATTACTAGGCTAAGGCAGCGGCTTGAAACAAAGTCGGAATGGTTTATCTTTAATGACAAAACTCCACGAGCCTGCACTAAAATAGAGGTTGGAAAAGCGAGGGTGTTGAGCGAAAATGTTGAGAACCACGTCAATGAAAGCTACTCACATCCCCATGGGATCCACAGTTTTCGTACATTTGATTCTACCGTCTAAGATCTATAGACCTTGCGAATTGATATCGCATGAACAGGAATATCACAAACATGCCCACGGGCGCAGGCGCCAGCGGGTGCCAAGCAGAAAGCCTTGTAAAATTTCAAATTAGCAGCGTTGTAGACAGCGAAGGACGCCACAGCCTGTCCGCCTCGCCGCCCAAGTAATCGCACCACGCCTAAACGGCCGCCCAGGTCCAGCGGCGCTCCTCACCCCAGGTGGAAGCTGTCGTTGTGCAGCAAGGTCTGGATGCGGCTGTTCTGCAGCGCCTTCTGCAACGTGTGCGACACGGGCACGCCGTAGCGACACAGGCTGATGGCCGGCTGGAAGAGGGCGCGCCACGGCAGCCGGCCGTACCGCTGGTGCACCGCCCAGTACCCGGGGATCTCGCCCGGCACGGCCACCGACATGCCGCCTGTCGCACGCACGTCGGCCAGTGTCATGGTTGAGCAGCACATTGCAGACGTTTCCTCCATGATACGTTTGTCATCCACGTTCTCGTTTCCTTCCCCTCCCCCTCCCCAAGAGCGTGTTGGTTCAAAAATGCACATCTGTCACTTGCCCCAATTGTGATTTCTCTTCTCTTTACAGTATCATATTATATATATATATATATATATATATATATATATATATATATCCCGACCACCGTTGCTCCGCACCTGTCTGCGCCTCTGCCTTCTCGGAGAACATGTCGGCGGCGGCGGCGGCCGGTGCGCGCTCCCGCGCCACCAGCGTCTCCGTCAGACCCGTGCTGTGGTTGTACAGCGTCATGACGAAGCCGCCGCCGATGCCCATGCTGTGCGGGTTGGCCACGCCGTCGCAGAGCAGCGTGGCCAGCGCCGCGTCCACTGCGTTGCCGCCCCGCTGCAGCATCGTCCTGCCGGGCACAGCGCGACTGTGAGCCCGGGCGGCGGGAGGGTAGGCGGAGGGGGAGGGGTGGGGTGGGGGATGGGGGAGGCCGGCGGATGGGCCGCCTAGCGAGGGGCCGCTAATGAAGCCGGATGCGTGGTGGGATAGTGCACAAGTGTGCGTGCCCGGGGGGTGGTCCGCTTGGCAGATATCCCGAGCTGCTATTCAGATGGACGGATGGTAATGTCGCGCAAGCTTGGTTGCCTCTCGTGTGAGGCTTCAACCATTGAGGTTTGTCACATTGATGTATGTGGCGTGGAAGGTGACCTAAAACACAAAATCTGGCACCCAAAACTGCTGCTGTCATTGTTGTACTGTCATTGCTGCCATCATTGCTGTTTGTTGCTAGCATTCAATGCTGTTGTCATTGCTGGCATTAAATCGCTAATTCAGTTCGTGTCACCTCAGAAACCTTCCAACTCTGCTGACGGCTGTCGAGCACCACGCTGACATGATAAATGGGCTTGTAGTGAAAAGACGCCATTCACATGAAGGTAATGACTGGCACTACAAAGTTGTGCATGCTTCACCTTCTGTCGCGCAACGCAGGATGATCCTCACCTGCCAGCAGTCTCGGTAACAGTCTCAGCAGGGTGAGCCTCACCTGGCAGCTGTCTTAGCAGCAGTCTCAGCAGGGTGAGCCTCACCTGGCTGCTGTCTCAGTAACAGTCTCAGCAGGGTGAGCCTCACCTGGCAGCTGTCTCAGTAGCAGTCTCAGCAGGGTGAGCCTCACCTGGCAGCTGTCTCAGCAGCAGTCTCAGCAGGGTGAGCCTCACCTGGCAGCTGTCTCAGCAGCAGTCTCAGCAGGGTGAGCCTCACCTGGCAGCTGTCTCAGCAGCGGCCTTCGCAGGGTAAGCCTCACCTGCCGATGGAGGCGCAGACGCCGGCGTCGGCGCACACCGCTGCCGACCGGTACTGGCCCAGTTTGGAGTCGGAGGTGGCGGCGCTGCCGGCGCCGGTCAGCTGGGCTGCCGGCCTCTTCACCGTCCCGTCTGGAACGGGCCCACTGGTTAGGCGCCATGGAAGGACCAGTACTGCGAGCGTTCTAACGGACGACTTCCGCTCTCCTGGCAGCATTTACTGGGGACGAATCGTGTTGGTTGGTGAGGAGAGGCGAGGCAGAACTGCGAAGGCTCAGGCATTACGAGCCACTTTGCGGCATGCGCTACGTTGCCAAACGCTTTTATTTGTCTCATGGTACGCAAGTGGGTTGTTCTGGACAGTATATAGCCGGTTTTGTCCCGGCAATTAGTGTCTCCCTCTTAACCAACATGCTCCTACAGTGTCTTTCTTCTTTTCTGTGATGCATGACAATTTTCATTTCTCGAACCGGCGATCACTGCCTTGCGATTCCCAGTGTTCTGCGGCACGGGAGGTCTGTTCTCTTCATTCGGATGCGATGTGCGCTGTGTCCAACTTCAACACCCGCGTCTCCTTCACCTTTTTAGTGCTTCTGAGTCGTTCGGTCGTAGTTTCGCGGTCCCGCCCATTACGTCATCACCGGAAGTCATGCGACGTAACAGTTGGAGCAGGGACGTTTTTGCCCTCTTGCGATAAGCAGATCGTTATCACATGCAAGGGAAGAGCAGGGGCACGTGCCCCCGGGAGGTTCCGATGCACCCTTTGGGCCCCTCGGGACCTACCATTAGGGGTCAGATTTGAGGGCCCAAAGGGCCCGAATGGCCGACCGGAAGTCGTTTCAAGGAACCCTGGCTTGCAACGGCGGGCACCCCAACGCCAGTTGGGGTTCTGCATGTTGATCAGGAGCCCCCTGAGTCGATAAGGATCTATATGTCGGTCACACAACGCCCGTAACGCACAGTCGGCTCCGTGGCAGCACGGGCCGGGGGGGCCTATTTCCCAAGCAGGAACAAAGCTGGAGCAGCCATTTTCATTGGTTGGGGCCTTGAGTCGGCCAGGGACAGTATTCGAGAAGGTCCGAAGATCCTAGAGGGCCCATCGGGTTCGACGATCAAGGGCCCAATGGGGGGGGGGGGGGGGTGGAACATGAAAGGCCTTATTCATGGGCTCCGGCCTGCGGGGAATGGCCCTCAAATGACTGCTGGAGTGTCCTTTGCGCCGATCGGGGGCCCCCTGAGACGGTATGAGCCCATATTTCGATCATGCACCGCCAGTATCGCACGGTCGGCTCCATGTCGGTATGGGCCCGAGAGCCCACTTCCTAACTAACTACGAAGCCGGGGCCAGTGATTTTCACTGGTCGGGGCGCCTGTATCTGCCAGGGGCTCACAGCGTCTAACAAAGGGCTCTGTGCTCGCAAGAGGCCCCGGGCAAACCAAGGCAGTGTTCGATGTGCAAGGGCAGGTTCGAAGAGGCCCCGGGTGGCTCAACGGAACCGACTATCAAAGGCACGGGTGGAAGGTATATGGACCCGAAGGACCGGATGCAGGTCACCTAAAGAATCGCGGCGGGTGGGGTCGTGACCTGAAATATCAGTCAGGGGTTCCTGTACCGTTTGAGGACCCCCTGAGGCAATGCGGATGTCTGAATAGGCCAGAGACCACAAACACCGAACAGTTGCTCCCTGCCAGTTTGAGCCCTGGAGGTTCATTTCCCATGCAGGGCAAAGCCGGGGCTACGATTTGCATTGGTCTGGGTCCCTGAAACAGTGGTTGCGCCCCGGGGTCGGTCGGGAACTCACATTGTATGGAAGGGGGTCATGTGGCGGCTTGAGGTGATCCGAAAAGGGGACAGAGGGTCCCTCGGGACTGAAGATCAAGGTCACGATTGGACTCGGGCCGTGACCTGAAATGCCAGTGGAATGGTTTTATTGGGGCCCTGTTATTAGGGTTCTCTATTCCTATCATATAGGAGCTCGACAAGGAACCACACAGTCGGTTCCATGCTCGTTTGAGCCCTTGAGACCCAGTTCCTAAGTGGGAACGAGGCCTGGGCGCGCGACTTACGGTGTTCGAGGTCCCTGATACAATGAGGAGCTCCTATGTTCGTCAAGGGCCACAGTGCCTAACAGGGGGCAGGTGGCTGCAAGTGGCCCCGAGTCGGGCAGGGGCGCTGTTTGAGAGGCCCGAAGAGAAGCTGAATGCTCTCTTCGAGACCACAGATGAAGGGCTCTATTGAAGGCTGAAGAAGGGCCTGGAGAGCTGGCTGTGGGCCACATTAAGGACCCTCGCCCGTAGGGCCGTAACGTCAAATGTCAGCGAAGAGCCGGCTCCATATCGGTCTGAGCTCTGTGGACCCATTTCCCAAACAGGCACACGGCCGGGCCCTTGATTTACATTGGTCGGGGCCCCTGTAACAATGTGGGGCTCCTGTATTGTTCACGGGCCCGCAGGGCCTAACAGGGTATTATGTGTCAACAAAGGGCCTCCAGTCGGTCGGGGAAGATTTGCTCAGCAGGGGCGGGGAGGGACCCCGAATGACACAGGGCATCTGTCGTTGGTCGGGACCCTCCGACAACGAAATAAAAATAAGAACATCATCTAATTGTTCAGAATAAGGCAATGAAAAGGGTCCTGTGCAAGTCAGAGCCCCAGCACCCCGCGGTGGGCCTCCAACGCATCTTTAGCAAGGGCCCACTAAGCCGACCTGGAGTCTTTGTGCTAATTATTAGACCACTTGCGGCGGTCAGGGATGTTGTTGCGTCAAGGGAGGCCCCTGTGTAGATCCACAGTCAACTGATTGGGCCAAACGGCCTTCTGTGTCAGGGGGGGGGGGGACTACTGTGATAAGGGCCTCCGGATCGGCCAGGGGACCCCGCTCCGTGTCGCCAGAATAACAGTCAGAAGACACCGCGCGGTGGGACAGACCGGCCATTTAGCTCTTCAACCGGGAAGAATAATGTGCCCCTAATGATCTGCTCCGGGGTCCCTTTCCCGGAGGGGAATAAGGGACCTCATCAGTATTGAACAGAGTGGACTGAAATGAATTCAGCGAGTGCCGATAGTGCAGCGGCTCACACATCTGTGTGAACCACTGCACGTATGGGGGGCCAGAGGTGCGGGATTGGATTTCCCGCCGTCCCGCCCCTCCTGTCAGGATGAGAGGCAGGCAACGCCATATGGCCTCAGCAGCTGAGTGTGTCGTGAAGCCCAGATGACATGAAATTCATTCAAGAACGAACAAGGCCGTCCCCTGTTTGTCTGAAAACGTTCGCCTTTTCCAGGATCGACCAGGGAAAGGAATCACACCAAAAGGCTTCAGCCTGCGCGCTCGTAATCTCAGGGAACAAGAACAGCGATGGCCTGTGTTGTAGCTTCTGTAAAACCGACTGCCGTTGGCCACCGCAAGTGACGCCAGGCGGCGGGCGGTATTCCCGCGAGAACAACCGTCGTAAAATAATGGTTACGAATGTATGAAACTCAATTCCGCCTTTCAAAGATTAGACGAGGAGCATCTTTTTTACAGCTTTGAGGCTGCCGTTTGGACGGATGACCAGGTATCGCGAGACAAAAACTTGCAATTTTAGCCTTATTCTTCCAATTCCATCACCAGATTCTAGTATAATGTAGTGGTGCCGTACAGGCCAATCCGTTCTCATCAGCAATATAAAAATCGCTCAGGTGTAATGTAACTCGGACGACCTTCTAAGCTGTACTGTTTGGTGTCCTAGCGCTCAAAGGTACTTCTTTCAAATGTCTTATCATTTTCGTCTACCCGTTGGACACAGCATAATATTAGCCACAAGGCCAGCGGTGCACAGCCAGCGGAGGCTGCAACGTCTGGCTTTGAGGTTTTTGCTACCGAGATTTGCGAGCGCGCGTGCTTATAACTGCGTTATAGACTTCGCATCAGCTATCAATTCTGACTGAATGTTGAACATTTCCAGACGAGCATAGTTCAGCCATGTAAATGCAAATGGTTGCCGCATTTCGATTAACATTCGCGGGGTCTTTAACATCTCTGTACAGCCCACCCAAGTATTTGGACAAATCGTCTAAGTTCTAATGGTTAAGAAATAGTCCACTAGACCATTGTAAAATGGACAGCGCCGGTGATTCATTTCATGCAATCGATTAGCGCAAGGTTTCTAGTGTGATGACCATTAAACGCGGGCAGAATTTATCTACCGATAGCTTCTGACCTCTTTTCCGGTTTTAGACGGTAAAAAAGAAGGACGTTAAATAAAACGTGTTCTCTTTACAATTTGGCCACATGTGGCAATTTTTTTTTGGGGGGAGGGGTCGGAGGGCTTTTACTATCAGAGGGCCCTTTGTCAACCATGCCCCCCCCCCCCTTTACCAAGGCTCTGGCTGCGCGCCTTTAAACAAGTCGGCGCAGCTGACATTTTCAGACTGGCGACTTCTATATACCATGAAAATTGGAGGAGTACAACAATTGGAGCAGGTTAGATAACGCGACTTTGGATTGAGCGAACTTTATTGACAAATGATCTTTCCTAGGCTACTGATATACTCCTGACATGTTAGAGCACGCTGGCTAGTTTGATGCCGGTGATAAAGCTGAATGTTGAAATAAAGGTTGGTACATCGCCTGGAAGTCGAGAATTTGGACGAAATTTAGAGCATTTTAGGTGATCTCTGGCGATTTCAATGATGTCACAAATGTCACCTCAACAACCACTGACTGCAATTGACCACAGGTTTCTACTACCTTCTGAGTTGAACTGAACACGCGCTCGGGTGGCGTTCAAATTGACCCCCCGAAAGTCTTTCCAGAATGATTTCCGAACGGCGCGGCGTAGCCGCACCAAATTTTGCATAGCTGTAGAAAATTGAATAGCGGATCGTTGGGCATCAAAAAAAATAGGTGTGCCTCGTAAGGTCACTGACCTATTGCAGGTCAAAGTCAGGTCGTTTCAGCGAAGGCAATTTCTAGGGAATCCTTCGATCTGATCATGTGGCCTTTTACTTACGGACGGTTATCTAGATTCTGGGCGCACTTTGGGGACCAACCTGGAACTTGACTCTTGTTTGGCCTTTTTCGACCCGAAGGTCATGACCTAGGAACTTGAAACTCTGGCCTAAATGAGTTCACGTACAAGTCAACACAC